TTATAATTTATAACTTACTTAACTACTAGTATTTTATTTATAGTTAATATAACTAAATATAATTATATCTATTTCCTTAGTTTTATTATAATCTTTAATATTAAAAAATTACTTAATTAGCTTAAAACTTCTATAAATATAATATATACCCTTAGGACTGTTAAAGGGGTATATATATTACGCTGGTAGTAAGATATTAAATCCTAACCTATTAGCTACTCTAGAAAATGCCAAAGCGACTTGCTTAATTTCTCGAGGTTACATAGCATAATCTGTTAGTTCTAAAGATCTGCATTACAGGGTATAGATACGACCAAGCTCCACTGAGGTTTCGAGCGTACAGTATGTACGGAGTATATCCCCGTAGTCCTTGTTAATCCTTGAGGGTCTCCTTAGGGGTACCCGTGTAAAACTCGGTAGTTAATTTATCCAAGACAATCCCATTCATCATTCATTATGTGACCTGACCGGCTTTTTCAGATTCGCAAAGCGCCTAGCCGCACCTGACGTCTGCTTCCAAATCGCCACCAGCTTTTCGCTTTGCAAAGCGTCTGCAGAATGTCAATGGGAGGAGATGGGCCGTGGGCCATTGCCGTCATGTGGGTATTGACTGCCGTGGTATTCGTCTTTGTTCTATTACGGGTTTATACCAGAGTTGTTGTTGTCGAATCATTTGGCACTGATGATCATGTCTACAATTTGGCATTTGTAAGTCATCCATCGGGCCCGTCTCTCGCAATCACGATTAGTACTGATACCTGCCTGCACCACTTGATAGGTCTTTCTCCTTTTCTATACTATCTTCACGACTGTCTCGGCCCATTATGGCTTTGGTCAGAATGTTACTGATATCGTGGCTCGAAATCCTGACGACTTGCCCTTTGCTATCCTCTTCGAGGCTATCGGCCAGACCTTTGCCGTTGTTGGGATGGCAGTTGCAAAGTGGTCTCTCGGGTTGTTTCTGCTTCGAATAGTGAAAGAACGATTGCATAAGATTGCGATCTGGATTTCCATGGGATGCCTTGCCGGCGCATCGATATCGACTTGCTTCGTCTTTTGGTTGCAATGCACACCTCCGAAGTATTTGTGGGATCGGCGCATTCCTGGAAAGTGTACAGTTAATTCGACACCAGTTTCGATGATCCTCTGCAGTAAGTCTTTGATTGACTCTGGTTGAAGTATTGTAAGCTGATACTACAGTCCTCTGCGTGATTGTTGACTTCTTCTTTGCAGGTTTTCCCTGGCTCTTTATCTGGGGCCTGCAGATGAATAAACGAGAAAAGGTGGTTATCCTATGCAGTCTTAGTCTTGGTGTGATGTGAGTTGCCCTCTTGTTTATTTCCTCTTTGTACTGCTGCTGATTCTCTTTCAGTGCTGGAGCTTGTGGTATTAAGCGCACTCTAGAGGTTCCTGAGCTGTCAAGCCCCAACTACTCAAGTAAGTCGTTCATTCACAGGATTAAGAAAACGAGTTCTTATCTAATTTCTACTCATTAACAGAGGATACTGTTGGCCTTATCGTCTGGTCGGCGGCCGAGATAGCCGTAACCATGATCTGTATTGGCATCCCTGTCTGCCGCCCCCTATATAAACGATACCTCGATAGATGGACATCCCGAGATGGCAGCAAGTACCGCGAGCATAGCGCTGGCGGATCGCATCCTCTACAGACTATCGGCGGAAGTACACTGAATCCAAACACACCGGACAAGAACAACAGCATATCCGAGGGCTACGACAAGGAAGAATGTGAGAGGAGGATTGCCGTGAAGGGCCCATTTACCAAAACGAGGGTTTACTCAAAAGGCATCCACAGGCTTCCAGATGATAACCAGAGCGATGAAGAGATCTTGGGACCTGATTTCCGAAGAAACCAGCAAATGGACCTCCACGGTCAGGAAGGGGGCATTCGAGTGACATATGAAGTGACGACTACAAGGCAGGGTATATAGGTAGATTTAAGCTAGCTAGTCTAACTGCTCAGTTTGACCTATTGATATGGGCCTCGCGGATAAAATTATATTATGAAGCTTATCAAAATACCTTACGTAGCCGATATCGTTCCTTTGGTAGTCCGTATCGTGATCCGCATACTTGATGTGATATTGATAGAACATTTTCTTCCAAACAAGTTTCAAATCCCAGATCTCCTTTAAATCTCCCTGACCTTGAGACCCCCCTCCCCATCTCAGTTGGGTTCCGGCGAACGGCCTTGGAACGACTATTAAGCGCGATAATCCGGGAATGCAACTCTGGCAATTGGGGACCTGGGCGCGTGCCAATATCTTGTTACTAATGGGTACTGGGAGAGCAACCTACCGGCTAATTGTACCCGCGTGAAGTCCTGAGCTGATCCAGTTAAGAATAAACCTCTGGGAGGTTATATATAATTTCACAGCTAAGGGGTAAGAATAAAAAGATATTAGGATATAAATACTAAGGGATTAAAAAAGATAGTAAGATTTCTTTTTTTCTTTTTTTCTTTTTATTAGCCTTATAGGCTATCCGCAAGACTGGTTAAAATAAGATGCGATATTGTAATAGCGCAAACTACACTGATCAAAGCCTATTAGAATAAGGCATGAGCTTGGGAATATACTAAAGAATCTAAATGTTGTGAGAGCACCATACTAATTTTACAACTATCAGAACTCCAGAACGAGAAATTCTTGGTTCGTGATGCAGCGCCAGGGACCTCCGAGCAAAGGCTAGAAGGGATAAAGCGGTAGGAATGAGGGAGAAAAAGATCAACTCGAACGACAATGTGAAATCTAGCCCGCCACGGCAGTAGGCACCGGCCCAAGGACCGAATAAAGCATCCATTGACTTTGAGCACTCCATCGCGAGAGAGATCTGGCTAGTCACTATACAATCAGGGAGGTGGCACTGTAGTTTGTGACGTCACTAAGGTGAATGCCAAAAGATGAGGAAGGCCAGGAACGGAGAAGCAAGCAACACAACACGAGGTGCCGCAGGCGAATACGCAGGAAAATGTGTGAGACAACAGGGCAGCCATTTTAGGTTTAGTCTTGTCCTCTTTTCTCCCACACACGGCCAGGGTAGAACCAACAGACAAAACTTATGATATGCGGACAAAAGTTCTCGTAAATAGACAAAAGGTCTCGTAGATAACCGCATTCCTTTTTCGCATCTTTATGCACGGTATTCAATCGTCAGCTTACCAATACGGCTCGGCAAAAGTCTCCACTCCTTCAATTAGCCAAACCAAAACGCCATACTGATATAAATGTTTACTGTACATCCAGCATATGCAAGGTCACCCTGTCAGCTCATTTTGGCTCTACCATTACTTATCTAAACCTTGTTTAATACTCAGACAAAAGTGCCTGTCTTCCAGCTTTTAGGTCTTGATAAGCCACTGGATAAGTTCCGGAATTGGCGTGCCCTTTTAATTCACCTGGGTACTGTCCTGGGCCTCCTACAGATTGCAAAGGAAAAGGTGCTAGGTCAGCAACTGTTAACGCCCTGCCATCCACTGTCAAAACACGTTTCTGGCCAATAGGTACTAAGCTCAGATCTGGTACCCGTGTTATATAGCCTGGTTTCGCCTTGTTTGGCTCTGATGTTGTATGTACCAAGTTTGCCAAGAGGGTTCCAGTCCAGTGTGGATCAGTTGCAACCATGAGAACCAGCCACATCACACTGGCCAAGAACAGAGCTAAACAGCTAAGAGCCAGCTGCAGGTGAGACATGGCCACCATCAATTTGTCAACGCTTATCTGCACAAGTGATGGGTCGACGCTGACACTGTACCCCCTGGCAACCATCAACGACTCAATGGTTCCAGAGTTGTCCCGTATCCAGTTCAAGACATCGTTGTCGAGGGACTCGGCACTGACATTGGACCGAGAGGCACCTAAACCTCGTATGATCATCATAGCAGCAGTGTCAACTTGGCCATAAAAGCCTTGTTGTCCAACTGCAGGCTCTGAGGCAGCGCAATCAGTCTTGGTCACCTTCCCACCAAACGCCTCATTCTGAAAGTTCGATCTTTCGCATTTCTCAAAAGGTTCGGGTGCCTTGTCGAGTGTTTCAGATCGAATAAGAGTCATGTTTGTGCTGGTGATGCTGACAATGGAGTACTGGCTATTGTTGTTGTTCTGTGGTGTGTAAAAGCCCCACTCGCTTTGAAAAGCCGATTTGTTGTTGTTACCGCTTGTGTTTGCGCCGAAAATATAACTGAGGTTGTTATTTTGTGCATTCATTATACCATCGATGATGTTGCTAATAAGAGGATTCTTTTGTTCCGTCTCGTTGGAACTCCAGGTGCGTCGGACTAGGTCAGTGACTTCCCCTCGGGCAAATGGGTCACCAGGGCTTGTTATCATAGTAACCTTCAAAGTAGCCTGAGAGAAAGCATGTCGCCTCTTCCCCTTAGTGACAGTAAAGACTTGTGTCATCAAAGCTGAACCTCCGCCTTGTCCAACGGAGACCCAGATGTTGTCCAATCTCTCGGGAAGAATGTATCGTGTATCGAGTTCTGTAGCATCACTCCAATGCACCTCAGGTTTGCCTGTTACGCTCTGTACATACTCCATTGCAAAGGCGTTATCGAAAGTGCAGTTCCAGACAGCAGAGCCTCCATCGAATTTGACACATTTCGTGTCAAATGTGGCGTTACCGATTTTCCCCACTGAAGGGTACATTGATATAGTATCAGGGGAAACTGAAAATCCTTCACTGTCTAACCAGACACGAGCACCAACACCGTCTTGTCGTGCTGGTGTGATAACATCGGGAGTTCCGTGTCTATTGCTAACTTTTCCGGTCAAAGTGTAGTTCAGACCAGGATTGAAAAGATCAGATCCAACGATTTGAGGGAGTCTTTCTGTAATACCCTCAAGTAGAGTCCTGTTGAGAGCGAGTTGAATGACGTAGGGAGGATCATCATTTCTTTGGGAATTGTAATCAGAAAATGTCGCATTTGAAGCTTTGAAGATATAGCCTGGTGAGTCTAGTGCCCAGAGAAGAGTACCATAGAGTGAAAAGACAATATTGAGTAGGCTAAAAGTGAGAACAACTAGTCCCGCTCGCGATAAGCCACGAGATGAGATGTAGAGTGTTCGTTGAATATAATCCTCCGTGAACATAAGGTACGATGTGAACTGTCTTGATCGGGCCGCAACGAGCGAGAAAAGTTTGAAGATAAAGATCCCCATAAGTAATTCCGCACATTTGAAGATGACAGATTTGACCGCATTGTGATACAGAGGTATTGAAGATTTGATGAATGATGACGATGATTCGATCATATTGTGAGATACAGAAGACAACGATAGAATGAGGGAAAAATAGAAAAAGACAAGAAGAGGCAGCCCTTCTTGGCAAGCAGCTGGCGCCGACTTGATTGCCTTTCTAAGATTGGGTGGCCAGTATTCTTATACAGGCTTGAGCTTGCAGGTGCGTATATCGATAAAATGGATTTTCAGCTAGGCTGATTGGTGAATTTGCGAGGACTAGTCAATCACTTTCTACTTAGGTTAGCGTTAGCTTAAACATTAAGGTTGAAAATCCATGGTCTTGAGAAAGAGGGGTAGATAGGCGGGATAATTCCGTATGTACATTCCGCTATTCAAAGTGTTCCACTACCCTAAACACCCTCAAACCCAGTAATGGAATAATGCTCTATTAGCTTCGATCTAACAGGCAGTCTCCTGGTAGCATATTGTCGAAGCCGAGAACTTTTGCTTTTCCATATCAGAATACTACTTGTTTGATGAGATTCCAGTCCTTCATTCAATACACTTTGCAGGCGCCGAAAACACAAACAGTTCAACTCCTGTGTTCTGTTACCCTCCTACTGGAGCCATTCTCTCACCGAATCACTTTCTCGGTGCACAATTTCTGCCCATAGACATCAATCCATGGCAATGGAAGATGCCTCCAACAAGGTTGTTTTGTGTCAAGCAAATACAGAGTTTCCAACGTCACCCCAATCTGAATTCTTTCTGCTAAACTCTGTTTCTGGAACATGTGAACTGAGTTACAATGCACAAGGGACCTGCTTACAAAGCAAACTGCAACCATTCAGCATCAGGCTTTTTGTGCGCAAAATACCTCATAGATGCATTCAATTTGCCCAATCAGTAGACGTGAGTCGGAAAACAGATTAGGACATCGGTATACAGCCCATCATGTTCTTTCATCACTGAGAGGCAATGAAGCTGAACTGGAGCTCGAAGATTCACCAACAAAAGCTCCAATCACCAGCCTGTTGGTGAACAAGTCAGATAACCTACAAGGCGAAGTCTACGTTTAGCGGTCTGTGACACTCGACCACGCGTCAATTCGACACACACTGTGCGTTATCCTTAATACCCGTTGAATCAGTGAGAATATTCATAGATCTTGATTCCAGGCCCTTTGTTTCACTTCCCGTGTCTAACGGAGTCTGAAAGTGTATACCAGGTACAGATACTTTTTCAGTGCAGACAGCGCTGCCTCACTGACAGAACTTAGCATAAAAATAGATCGAGCCCCAGGGTTGAAACATACCTGCTTCGGCCCTACTGGCAGAACCGTAAGCTTCTACCATGACACAAACTAAACACCCCCAAATGCTTCTGCAAGTTGGTCAGGCAACTCAATCTGCATGGAAGACTATGAGCAATTGGCTTCCACCTCTCTTCGGAGACAAAGGCTGGTGGTGGAAGACTCTCGGCCCACAACTCAACACCCTCCTCACAGAAGCGGACTATGACTTGAACGAGCAGTACGAAGCTCTACTATTGTTATACCGATGGGTTGTTCCGGAAATGGGACCCAGGCCATGGTCAAGCATGGTACCCTGGAAAAGCTTCATGACTGATGACCACTCTCCTATTGAGTATAGCTGGAAATGGAACTCTGGAAGCAAGAAGCCTGACATTAGATACGCCGTTGAGCTCGCCAGTCCCTTAACTGGAAGCGAGAAAGATCCATTCAATCAAATCCCGACACGGAATTTTGTGTACAATCTCGCCAAGGTTATTCCCGAACTTGATCTCACCTGGTTTGAGCATTTCTGGCATGAGTTGCTAGGTCCTGGGTCTCCCACAATGTCCACTTCTGCAATCTCGACAAAGGGTTCAACCATTTTTGCGGCCTTGGAAATGCTGCGTGGTCGCTTTTCTATCAAAGTATACTTCATACCAGTCGAGACACCAGATATAAGTGCCTGGCACCAGATAAAACATGCGATTGAAACAGCAGGATGTCAGCATCTTGAGGCCTTGAATCATGTTGACAGATATCTCTCCAGCCACAACAACGGGAAGCAGCTCCGCCCGTTCATGCTGGCAATAGACCTTGTCGAACCCAGTGCTTCACGGCTCAAGATATATGCAAGGTCCAACCAAACTTCTTTCCGCTTTGTCCGAGACGTTATGACTGTTGGCGGACTTCGCACAGGCTTGGATCAATCTCTAGAGAACTTTTACGATTTATGGAAACGTGCACTTGGCCTCAACCCTGACACGTCACCTGAAGACGAGCTACCGAGTGTGGACCATCTGACTTCCGGGGCGGTATTTAACTTCGACGTCGCCCCAAAATCTTCGCTTCCCGACGTCAAGGCTTATATACCAGTTCGACACTATACTACTAACGACCTTCGAGCTGCACTTGGGCTTATCGGGTATCTTGAAGAGCACGGGCATGAGGGTTACTCGCAATCGTATCTTCGTGCATTGGATATGTTGGCACCACCAGGTCAGCTTGACCAAGCTACTGGCGTTCAGACCTACTTTGCAGTTGCGTGTCAGGATGGCGACTTGTCTCTCACTTCTTACTTGAACCCTCAGTTGTATTCCATGTTTCGAGAGCCCGAACGTTTATAGATTTGACTAGTTTAATTCCATAGCAGTCAGATGCTTAAACAGTAACAGGAACAAGCAAGCAACCTCAAAATTTACTCTGGCTTCCTGGCCCACACCGTTTTCAACCGAATATACGGGTGAATCCTCCTGTCTCTAATCTCTCGCCGGAACTTGGCGATATATACGTGGACCTCCTCGGGAGTCCATCCTAGTGTATTGGCAATAAATAACAGAAGTCCTTCAGTATCCTGCGTACTGAATAGCTCACCAAACTGTCCGATTTGTTTAAGCTTGGGATCTTTCGGGAAAGGGTTCAGTGGTAACTAAAGATTAGACTTGTTAGCGTGTTCTGACCTATCCCGTAAGAACGGCGGCTTACCTTTGAGTCCCATTGCTTGACATCTGTAAATCCTGCTTTCTCAATGCCAGGTCTCTGAAGATCGTCTCCACAACAGTGAATGTATTTCCAATTGCTTTTGAGGCCTTGATGAAGATAGGTCCCCACTGTGCCAATGCCGAGTCGGGCTGGACACTACCATCGTCACTCTCGATAATGGCTGAAGCTTCAAAGGACTCGACCCAGCCACCCAGCTTAAGAACCTTGTAGGCCTGTTCAAAGATATTATCCCAATTTGGGACACACCCAACTAGATAGCGTAAGTGGACGTAATCAAAAGACTCCGGAGAAAAGGTCCAATCTTGGTTAAAGTCCTCGATCTCACTGCGCATAGTATAAGATAACGGCATCCTTTATTCCTGTTTGTTGAAGTGGTTATGACTTACAACTTGACATTTGGCGGCACCCACGAAGGTTGGATAGGAGAAATGTCCGTCCCTATCACTTCGCACCCGGGATACTTGTCGGCAAAATCACTTTCAGGTCAGTAAGGCTAGAGGTTTAGAGATCTTGGGGTTACTCACATGGCCCATATACCTAGGAAACAGAAAAATAACCAGCACTTCAGCTCTAGATAACTTTGCTATAAGTATCCACGTACCTGTTCCACATCCAACGTCAAGTACCTTCTGGTAGTAACAATTAGATTTAGTCTAGAGCCCATTGCCCCAAAGACCTAAGTGGTTTACTTGAATGCTATCATCAAGGGGAGCAAAGTGCAGCTCGCCATCTTGCGAAAGAGTAAACATGTGATGCCTGGACGTGTTAGTTGATACAGATCCACAAAGGATTCTGATCTCACGCAATGTCCATAGCTTCACTTTGCCGTTCATCATTAGAGCCCCTGGCACGATGTCAGCTTCGCCTTCGGTCATGTAATGACTGATATTACCAATAGGCAGCATTTCCTCTCTCGCTGTGATATGTCCTGCCATTGATGGTACGGTAGTGGAGGATGCTTGAGGTAATGGAGGCCGTCGAGCTTTCGGAGTCTTCGCCAAGACCTGGATCATCTTCCTCCCCCTCAGGAACATCATCGACCTCGAGCGCCTGTGCGGCAGTTGCGACAGGCCCCTGACTCTTGGGAGACCGTGGAGATCGCGGGGAACTGCTCTTGGGGCTAGTTTGAGACATGTTACAGCAGCGCAGTAGAAGACAAGAGTGGGAGACGAGGGACAGTGAAGAAGAAAGCTGCGCTCTGACCGAGATCAGTGCGCCTTTAAATTGTGCGTAAATCTTTGGGGCTTACCCTCAAATTCATGATCTGATTCGATATCCGCCAAGTGCAGTGTAACATGTGACAGATGTTCCTTGCCTATAAATTTGAGGGCCATCACCAACCAGCCACTTAGAAGATATTATTAAGCGAATCAATACCACTTACAAGCCCATTCGGAGTGGGAGAAAACAGGGGGTTCGCGGTCTTGGCAAGAGCCTTTTGACAAAGTTCGCAGTCATGCCAACGTTTTATGAATAGATTTAAAAAAGAAAGGTTACATTATCTGCTTTATAATTCTTTTCGCCTATAGAGTAACTTGGTTGCCACTAGCCAATTTATTGTACACCATTACCACTAACTTAACCAGGAGATCGTCTACCGGGTTTTTTGCCGCGCCAAAGCAACCCCGCAAAATCTCAAGTAGGGATCAGCGAACCAACCCCGCTTTTGAATTGTCCAGCGACTCCCATCCGCTTTCTGGCAAGAAGACGTATACCCATGAGCCAAGCGGTTGGCTCCCACTGACATGACTGTGTCTTACCAACCTGGAGTCGGTTTTTTCTCGCTGCAATGACTCTCCCATGTAGTGATTGTGGTGCCACTTTTGCCCGAAAGGAGCATCTTCGACGCCATCAACGACGGCATTTAGACATTCGCCCATACCGTTGTCAGGATTGCAATAGTACTTTTACAAGAAAGTGAGTCAATATCGATTCCATATCACATCATCTTGACAACAGTGATGTTAATAAATGTCAGGGATATCCTGAACCAGCATTTGCTTACCCATGATCCTGCCAGGATGACTCGTAGGTCCCGCCGCGTGGCCTACGTAGCCAAGGCTTGTATTTCCTGCGCCCGATCTAAACAACGATGTGACGGTCATTCACCCTGCGGAAGGTGTTCTCTCAAGGGCCTCGATTGCTTTTATCGGCCTTTACAACAGAAAGTGCAGACTTCATCCCGTGATGTCAGCCCCGAGTCTCCTTCCTCCAGCGAGCGGGACAGGCATTTGCATAGTGCTTTACCTCTAATCCAGAGCCAGCCAAGTCCTTCACCACTCAACTCAGCAAGAATTATTCGGAGCCGAGTGTCTGAAGCCGTATGTGAACTTCCTTCTCTCGTACCAGATGTCGATAATCCATCTATAGAGATGCATCTGGATGCAGGTCAAGAAACGGTTCCTGCTGGCGATTTTGGGCTTTCAACTGATCCAAATGGAGTCTCCCCGAGCAATAGCAATTTTGCCTTTGAGGCTGAGGGGTTAGATTTTCAAGATTGGGCGGCGCTTGGTATGGACCTTCCCTGGAACAATTCTGTGCACTCCATGCTCGACAATCCGTTCTTGGAACTACCGAACCCCATGACATTCTTTTTCCGGAATCCGAGCGAAGTGGCCAACCAGGCAGATATCTATCCTATGTCAACTTCCATGGACATTGAGCCCATGGTCCATCAACTTGAATGCGAGACCCCAACCCCGAGTTTTACTCAATCCTTAGCCAATACAAGTTCACACGGACAAAGCAGCCAGACATCACCCGATGCCACTTTGAGTCCCTCTATCAGAGATTATGTTGAGCTTGAGCCATGGAGGGCAGAAGACTATGGGCATGTGCCCTACATGAGCGATGAAGCTTACCAAGTCATGGTTTCCACTTTTGAACAACTCAACAGCAATAATGCATATTGCATCCAATTCACGAACAAGCATCTACCATCTCTACAGCATATGCAGATCTATGTGCAAGTTTACTTTGAAGAATATCACCCAGTCTTCCCTCTACTCCATAAGGCAACATTCTCACCTACTAAAGATGACTGGCTACTGAGCCTTGCAGTTTCATCGATCGGGTGCCTGTTTTCGAAAACCTTAAAGTCAAGAGAGGCCTACCCCATTATGCAGGAATTTCTCCGTAGGGCCATTCGCATCCAGGTCCGTACAACCTTTCTGATTACTGAATTTGGGCCTTTCCAAACAGGATCGATGTTAACAAAGACTACTTTGACTAGCTTGAACGAACTCAGAATTCAACGCCCAGTCTCTGTGTTGCTCAGGCATCTGTCCTTAACCAGATTGGCATGATGTACGGTGGGGACCTAAGATTTGCAGAATATGCCCATGAGACAATGGCGCAACTTGCAACTCAATGCCGCAAGATATCTTGGTTCTCAGACAACTTGGCAACGTTATCAGTCACTGAAAATGCGGTATCTCAAGATTGGCAAGCATGGACTAGGGCAGAATTAGAAGTTCGCTTGTTTTATTGCGCTTGGGTAAGTATCTGGCGTCTCATCTATATGACCTCCAGAAACGGTGAGAATGATTGTAACTGAATCGGCCTTAGCTTGTAGATAGCCAGCAAGTTGGCTTCTTCGCCTTTTCATCCACGATCCCACTCGACTTCCTTCAGTTTCCCATGCCGGTCAATGAACATGTCTGGCGCATGTCTACCATTGAGACGTGGAAGGACAGTCTCACAGAAGGTATTGGTCGCAAGTATACTTGTTGAACGGCCCAGAGTTGACATAATCTTTAGATCTATCTTGTAAACCATTAGCCTCTCTCCGCCAGGTGCTCTTAGGTCTCTACCGTCATCGTGAGATACCTGGACGGCTTGATGCGTTTAGCTCGCTTCTCCTGGTTATGGGTATTCTGAATGACCTCTCTTGGCTTCGTCATGCTCATTTATATCTGGAAGTACTGCAGCGACATGTCGAGACTTTGCCCCCAACAGATCTTGCTCGAGCTGCCATGGCTAATATCCATATGGTTTCACTCCTGATATACTTCCCGACTAGGGAGGTCATAGCATTTGGACGTTGGCGAGTCACTGAATCCCAATATTCCATGGTTATTGGCAAACTAAAGAGATGGATGTCTAATCCCCGCAGTGCAAGAGAGGCCCTGATACATGCATGTAGCATCTGGTCTCAGATTCGCTTGAGGCGCACCAATGCCCAACATGAGGCACCAGCCTTCCTACATAGCGCCATCTCGATCTGGGCTTTGGTGGAGCATAGTGAAGAACTTGATGTTGGTAATGGTGAGGAATTTCCGATCCTACGGCTGGAAAACCTGAATCAAGAAGTCAAGTCCTGGGCTGCCGGGAACGAAAAGAAACGTCTGTATTTGAGTGGGGTTGGGCTTCTGGGGCATCGAGGTGCCTTGGCTCGACTGATAAGTGAGACTGCCGGATTGCTAGAGAAAGGGATTTCTTGGCCTCAAGCGTGGAGAACAGGGCCATATTTGAAACAGTCTTATGCCGACTCATGCAAGGCTAAGCAGTATGTCAATTAGTTAGCATGTACATGCTTGATACAGATCTAGAAGATGTAACGAGGATGGTGTTTTGAGAGCAATACAAGGTAACAGTAAAGTCTGTAATTGATATATCTAAATAGACATGTTATCCAGCCAACGGTTCCATCCTTTCCCGGCTCTGAACAGCTGCCTCAAACTCCTTTAGTATGGTTGCCAGTCTCTCGGGATTCCTGACGGTTAATACGACAGGTAATTGTAGTCCGGGATTACCTGGCATATCGCCTGGAAAGCTTTGGGGGTCAAGGGGAAGTTTTGTCCCCGGCTTCAAACCAATGTCGAAAGCCCAAAGGATTCGCATAACACTGACAGCAAAGCTTCTATCCGCGATATGGTAACCAGGGCCTATTGTATGGCATAATCAGTAAGATACAGGAGCAGATGGGCTTCACCATTGGCCTACAGATACGACGTCCAGCTCCAAAGACGAAGTGGTCTCTTTTGGAAACGTCAGGAGATGCAGCGCTTTCCTGGCTCTGATATGAAGTCAGCGTACCATAAACTACCTTGTGCTTCACGCAATGTCTCACCGGTCTTGTATCACCCTCGAAACGCTCAGGTATGAAATTGTCGGGATCTGGATAGCGTTTAGGATCCCGATGGATTGCCCTTGTTTTATGTCAGCACGGGAACTCTTCAAAACCAAAATCAGTACTTACCAAGCATTCAAATGTATCCTCGCTCCCTTTGGTATGCGGTAGTCCTTATAGATTATATCCCGAGTGGTGGTATGGGGGTGGCCCAGAGCAACAGGTGGGCGCCATCTCCATGATTCCTTCATGACCTGACGGATATATGGCACACTCTCCAGATCCTCGAATACAGGAACTCTATCTCCAACCGCCGAATCTATTTACATTAGTACTTGATAGCTTTCTGTGCCCAAATGTAACAGAAGCACTTGAATAGACTTACCAATTACTTTTCTCGCTTTGTTGCAGACATCGGGAAACGTTAACATGGCCTCAAGGAACGACCAAGTCGATATCCGGCTCTGTTCTCTTGTTAGTATTACAGACCGAAGAAGCAGGTGTATCGCAAAGCTTACTGTATCTGAGGCCCCGATGATTAACATCATGCCCAAGTATGAGGCATCCTCGAGGCTGTCAAGTCCCAGATGATTTGGGTCTTCGATGACCCTTCGGATAAAAGTCATATGAGGCGGAGCCTCTCCGGCATCAATCTGTGACTTTACCCTCTGGGTGACAGTGTTAGTCAGGAACCCTTGGCTACCGAGATGGATTTTACCTTGAGCTTATCACAGCACCACTCATAGTCACGCTTATGTCTAGCCTTTGCGTCCCTCTCCCAGGGTTTAAGAAATAGTGGCAGCTTATCGAGAATGTTGAAAGTGTCAACTAAATAGTAGCCAGGGAGCATACCGAGAATCTGAGCTAGGCCTGTTTCGAATATGTAGTCAATGACAGGACTGTTGTCTTCAGGAACATCAAGGCCAAAGATCTGGGACGAGAATGTGCTATATGTGTAGCGACCAATGCTCGACCATAGAGATTGCGGATCAGCACCTTTGTTGGGATCTTGAGCAATGTCATTCAGGAACTTCAGCGTTTCAAAATGGAGAAATGGAAGACCAGCATCAGCGAGATTCAAGTTAGTCAGCCCAAAGGTTGTGGCCTTCCGCTGACTTTTCCATACTTTATCGCTGGAACTGAGAAGGAGAAGGTTGAGCCGGTTGCATATCTGCTCGTTACTAACAATCCAGCGCGGGCGCTCAGATGTTTGGGCCGCGGCCTTGTCGAATATAGCCCTCACGGCTTGATCGCTGTTGATGAAGTACTCCTGGATTGTACCGAGCTGGACGAAAAACACCTCGCCGTATTCCTGGGCCCACCTTTGAAAAAGAAGGTGCTGGCGATGTTCCTTGGCTGCTTTCAGGACAGTTGGAAGATGGCCAGTGACAATGTTTGTGCTAGGAGGTGAAGGGGGAAGAGGAAGGAGTGTCCTAGTTTTCTTGTGCCTTGATATTGCTTTTCGGACTAGGACCAGAACCAGGGAGAGCACAGCCAAAGCTGTAGTCAGCTCCCGGCTTGGTATGGAAATTGTTTGAAACATAATCAGCCGTGACTTTATAAAGAAAAGAGTGAGGATTGATATGTTTGCCCGAGATATAGAGGACTTGTAACATAACATCGTTAGGGAACGAAGCTCGAGGTTCTTGGTGCTAACTGCATTCGTGATGGTTAACCCCGTGGGGTAATCCACACAGACCTAGATAATCCCCGCCCCGGGAATTCCGAAGGCTGTACGTGCCCCCTCCACATTCCGATCTTACATCTCGCGGAATATGGCGTTCTGGTGTGACATTCGCGCAGGCACCGACTAAGCTTATCACTTCGGTCAATTCACTACTATCAAGAGACAGAATGTAACAACTCGGCACTCCATTGCGCGTGGAATTGGAAGTAGGCTTTTACCTCCATGTTCCGCAATGCCTATATTGTCTTTCCCCTCTGAGCTGCAATCAGTCAAAGCAGCCTAACCGTTATTATACGGCCAATTTCTTAAGATTAGACTGTCTTGATAGTCTTAAATTTCTTTTAGTAGCAGATGTAGCTCACCATACCCATTACTCTTAATCTTGTTTCTCTCAGTGTCTGCAACCCTTGCTTCGACATAGTAAGAACCCCGTACATTAAACTTGCCATCAAGGCTTGACTAATCAAAGTCTTGGTAAACTTTTCTCATCCGCCTCGCACTTTCAAGAGAACTCCGTCTAATCGTGGAATAGCTATTAATGGCTAGCTTTTCATCCCAGAAGTGAGGGCGACTGGGCTGCATTCCATACAATCAGATCTACCTTTGCTCCTTCACGGATGATTCAAAGTTCTGGATAGTGAAGTGCGAGACCTCCGGCTCTAGTTGCAAGCGTAAACGCCTGAACAACACACATTGTGTTGCTCTTGGGCACTTCCCACCCAGGGAACACGTTCTCAAAGAAGAAACAACCGATTCTTTGCAACCAAAGTCGGGCCTGTGTTAAAGTTCCGGTTGGATAGGGAAAATGAGTGTTGGATCCTAGTGCCTTAAAGGCTGTCTGCTAACCATGGCAATGTATATCAATAAAACTAAGGCTTAGTCGATGACCCCGGTATTACTGGGGAGGCCAGCAGATTTGGCAGATGTGATGTTTGCAATCCGGTCGCCCTCGAACAATAGATAGCTATCGCAAGGGGCTCGAAGCTCGGGCTAAGATTCATCCCAAGCGATAATAGTGGCACCTGAGAAGAGCTTACTACTGGCAGTAGCACTGGCTACGATATAGACAAGCGAGGCAGTAATATAAAGGGTGTGTTTTGTTGTTGAGATCAAGATTCAATTAAACAGAGGTATAAAGTCATTAGCATTCTTATTAACTACCTGAAACGAAATATTTAATCTACTTTTTCCCCAGTCTCATTTTAGCTATCCAACTAGTATTACCAAGCCAATACCTCCTGGATACCACCACAAGACAAGCTCGAACACAGTGCTTCATCCTCCTTATTAGCCTCTGCAGCGTCGTCAGATGGCAGCTGCTGTCTTGCTGGCCAGATCTGCTTGCCTGCTTCCCTCTCAAGCTTGGCATGCTCGTGAATTGCCTGTCGGTGAGATTCTTGGAATGATAGTGGACCATGTTCCAGTCGTGGATGCAACTCTCCACTAACAAAAATGCCTGCATTGAGATTCTTCTGGGCACCGATGCACAAGTCTTTATCTTCCGAGACAACACGTGCATAGAGATCGGCGATGTTATGGAAGTCCTCCTCGGATGAGTTCTTGTTGCGGAAAATTTGATAGTGCATCGATGATGCAGTAGGGCCAAGTGGCATGAAACGCTGGATCATCATAAAATGAGGCCTGCATAGTGTTAGAGGAACCCAGGCACGGCAGATATTAGGTACTCACAGGACGACCACTGATGCACTGGGGTAGAAGTATGTGCTGGCGAGTTGCATTCCGCTCTTCTTCTGCTCCTCCGTCTGAATGCTCGAGTGTTTAATCCATCCCAGCCCCGTGTCGCACTTTGTCTTTCCAAGGTCTGCAAGGGTAGGAAGATCGGGATGGGTCGTGGGACAGTGATAGCATTCGTTGAAGTTGTCTGCCAAGATCTTCCAATTGTATTCACCTTCCATGCTGTATTCATTGTCGAGAGTGTAGTCATCCCAGTTGACCTTCTCAAGACGTTCTTGCTGATCAATACCCTCGAAGTATCGAGTCCAGGGTTCTGGGTTCTCAGAGCTATCGAGGTTGACCCAGACAAAGCCATACGCATCGACTTTGAGATGGATCTTGAAAAGACCGTTCTTGCTCTTATCAAAGTTCTCGAGTTGGTCGTAGTTGGGTGCCTTGGCGAGGTTGCCACTCAGTCCATAAGACCAACCATGGTACTTGCATGCAAAGATAGAGGAGTTGCCTTGCTGTCCGCCTTGAACCACAGGAAAAGCGCGATGACGGCAGATGTTATGGAAGGCGTTGAGGTTTCCCTTCCGATCCCGGGCAATAACGAACTCATAGCCGGTAGTGTTAAACTTCATCCAATCACCAGCCTTAGGAAACCGGTTCTGATGGGTAGTAAGCAGCCACTTCTTGGAGAAGATGGCTCGCTTCTCAAGCTCATACATCTCGGGAGAGTTGTACCATGTTGAAGGGAGAGCACGGACAGGACTTCGGTGGCTAGTTTCGGTAAAGTTGTCGCTCTCGACGTTCACCTTGAGCTTATTCGCGGCTGACATTGTGTTTTGGGGTTTGTGGAGATAAGGTTTGATGTAATCGTTGGTGCCTATCTTGCTTGGGAGAGTAGCTTGACACGAAGACATAGCACTTTCTTATAGACAATCGTGTGCCTGATGGAACCCGAGCTAGAAGATAACGAGCCCGATGTCCCGGATCGAACCCCTCACGGTGATAGCGTATCGGAAGCGTACTTTTGTCATAATGAGTCTGGTTTCGGGAGCTCTGATACTCCACGCTTGAGCAGGTCTTGTGACGCTGATCACCCGACCCCTTCAGCCAGAGATATGGAAAGATAGGAATGCTAATTATCGCTCAGTGATTGGCCAGTTCGCCGAGTAGCGGTATCGCAGACCGAAGCCGTATCTCCCGTCAAGCAGACATCACCCGTAACGCAGCGTCAAACGATATCGCATCTCCGCTCCATTCAGTTTAGACTCAGGCACCTGATCGGCTTCTGGACCGCTTCGGGACAGATAAAGAGAATGTGCAAAGTCAATTGGTGGGTGTCAGTGTCACTCCGCATGACCCTCTCGGTACTGGGACCCCCTCGGCTTCAGAACCCGAGAAGATTCAGCCGCGTCGAGTCTAGAACCCGAGAGATGTGCAACCTTCGCTTCGGTTTGGGAATCCGTGTGAAATGATTGAGTGTCATGGATTCATTTGCTGTTTATTTCAAGGCTTGTCTTTTCCCTTTGCGGAAATGGCTATGCAAGCTGTGCATACAGCAAACTTGGGTGCCGAGAACTTTATGGCAACTTCAGCCAGTCCCGAGATTGGTGGCTTCAAGTCATGTGTTTTCTGCCAAAGTCTGATAAGCGTGGAAATAAACCGGACATGATCGAGATGAATGCGGGGGTGGATCATTGATATCAGCCCGATACGGAGTACTCCGTATTTCCGCACTGTTGACCCCCCACTGTTTCGACTGTCCACCGTTTCTGTCCATTGCGTTTCCGCAAAACGGTGGAGCTACGGAGTAGTCTTAAGAAACGGAACTGTGAGCGGGTTGGTCAGTCACGTGGAGATACAAGATCATGAACAGTGAACAGATAAGTTCGAAAGTCGAAGTAGGTCTACAGAATTGGGCTGAATTTAATATTCGGTTTGCTATAATACACCCAGGTTGCTGCCTACCCTACTAAAGAGCTTGTTTGCCCTGATGTTTAAAAACCACGCGACTTGTTTGCGGGCCTGATATCATACGAACTAAATCCTACCCTATGGCTTGTGATGCGTAATGTATCTTTGGTGCGTAAGGAGGACTGATCTGGCAAGTATGCTGACATATCTTGAGTTGTAATTGACCAAATAATTAACAGCTTCCACTTTGATAATTTGATCTGTGTTTGCGAGCTGAATGATGGGTATACTTGCTGTGTGATTTGATGACTATGTTGCGGAGTTTGGCGGAGTTTACATGCAATGTCAAGACAAAAGATCCCTGTACTTTTGCAGGAAATAATGAACTTCCAAGCATAAGACTTGACTTATACTATCAGGGCAATTCAAATTGCGTTCCTTGTGCCTACGGCATAACTAATTCACCTTGAACAGCACGGAGTCGGCCTTCATCTGCCTTAACTCCGCAGCGACTATTCTGAGTGGGCCTTTGCGGAGTTTATTAGAGAAATCATTAATCAAGTTTTATGTTAAATACCTCCCACTGGAATATCACAGCCATCAAACAATTGCATATTATAACTGTAAACAAAATGACATCCAAGATCGCAATCGTTGGTGCTACTGGGGAGACGGGAGGCTCAATTGTCAATGGCCTCCTCGGATCTGAAGCCCAATTTGTCCGCACCTCCACTCTTCCAGCTTCTTCGAATGCGCTAACAGGTGACAGGAAATTACAGCTTTGGTGCGACCAAGCTCAGTTGAAAAGCCAGCGACCATTAGCCTCAAAGAAAGAGGCATTAGAATTGTGCCGATTGATCTTGGAGGGAGCCACGATGAGCTGGTCTCTGCCCTCACTGGGATTGACACAGTCATCTCGGCCATTCACTTTCAATCACTTGATGATGAGATTCCATTGTCAAATGCAGCCAAGAATGCTGGTGTGAAGCGATATGTGCCCTGCTTCTTCGCCACTATTGCTCCGCGTGGTATAATGGATGCTCGCGATAGAGTAAATTGATCCCTCGTCTTGAGTGAGTCCACAGAGCTAACAATTGCTCCAGAAGGAGGCAGTACTTGACCATATCCAGCGGATCTATCTTCCCTACACCGTGATTGATGTAGGTTGGTGGTACCAGATCACTCTGCCCCGAGTCCCATCCGGCAAGCTGGACGAAAGTCTCGTCTTCCCCAACAACAACATCATCGCTGGCGGCGACATCCCTTCTGCGCTCACGGACGTTCGAGACATTGGGAAATACGTCGCTGCCATCGTGAGCGACCCGAGAACTATTAACAAGAGAGTACTGGCCTACACCGAGACCAAAACGCAGAACGAAGTCCACAAATTGGTGGCGAAGGTAGTTGGCGAGAAGCCAGAGCCAACTGCTGTAAGTCTGTCAACCTGAAACCTCGTGAACGATTATTGAGCTATTGCAGTTGTCAAAGGAACAGCTTGAAGAAATGCTAGCACCATTTAAAGCATCCACAGAACAGAACCAAATGCGAGCTATCTACGAGTACTGGATGTCTTGGGGCGTACGAGGCGACAACACGCCGGAGAATGCCGTTTACCTTGGGTATGTTCTTGCAAAGGACCTATATCCCTCCCTCCAGGGTAGAAGTCTAGAGGAGTTCATTAAGGATGCTGCTGAAGGAAGGGTTAAGAAAGCCTACCAACAGTAACACCCTAATTATCAGTGCATTGGCTGGATCACGCAATGGCGCTTAGTTAGCCGACGAAAAATGCTAAGAGGGATAACCCACTGTATTGACAATTGCAGCCCCATAACAAAATATTGATTGATCGCGTAATGCCTATGAACTTGACAAAAACAATCATGCAGCCTTTTTTTCCTGGCGATCTGTCTCACACGTGACCCGTTGCTCGCGTTTCATTCGAGGGGGGCTGACATTCCTTCTTTTCTTTCAGCTCAGGATAACGTGCAACGCGCGAATTGTTACTATACCCACCTATAGTCCACCTGTCTAGCCTCCGAACCATCATGTCCAGCCCCAAGTCCCCCAAGAGCGACCAGGGTGCCACGCGATCGTCGATGTCACCTAAATCCCCACAAGACACGTCGCCCCCGAGCGACGCAGGGCAACACCCGACGAATACGCAGATCCCATATGTACGAAATCATCATTCATTGCTGTCGTTAGACTCAAGCCGACTCGTCGTATTAACTCGGACGACCGAATAGAATGAAGACGATGCCGGCGACCAGGACTCTACATACGACGACGATGGAAGGTTAGCTGGAAACCCTGATGGGAGCATCTACGGGATCTGACGTGTTGTTACTGTTACGTACCTTAGTATCGCATCGTCGACGGCCTCCCTCTCAGAAAGTATCTTCGACTACCGGAGTCTCCATGGTCGAACGTTTCAGAACTCAAAAACAACGGAATATTGGGGTCCAAATGACGAGAGACAGAACAATGGCTTGGATATAGCACACCATTTGATGGTCATGCTCAAGGACGACAAGCTGTTCGACGCGCCTATCACTCGACCGTCGAGGGTCTTGGATGTAGGCACTGGTACAGGTATATGGGCCATCGACATGGCGGACGCGTATCCCTTCGCCGAAATTACCGGCACTGACATCAGCCCGATCCAACCGGCCTGGGTGCCCCCGAACTGCCAATTCCACATTGAAGACGCGCAGCTGGAGTGGACATATCGCCCTGAGAGCTTCGACTTTGTACATATACGCGCCCTCTACGGTAGCATCAGTGATTGGGGTGAGTTGTATCGCCAAGCGTTGCGGTCATTGGAGCCGGGCGGGTGGATTGAGAATATGGAGATCAATATCCACTTGTACAGCGACATCCCCGAGGTCAGAGACGATCCCGACCATATCTTCAAGCGCTGGGCAAAGGTATTCTGGGAGGCAACAGACATGATCAACAGGACACTGCGCATAGCCATGAATGGTACGCAACGTAAACTCATGGTTGAGGCTGGCTTTGTCAATGTCGTAGAAAAGACGTACCAAGTGCCATGCGGTACCTGGAGTAGCGACCCAAAGATGAAGGAGATTGGCGCATACAACCTAGCATTCATGGATGAGAGTCTAGAAGGCTTCGCCTTGTTCATGCTGCGCGAGATAATGAAGTGGGAATACGAGGAGGTGCAGCTGTTTGTCATGGAGATGCGCAAGGCTGTCCGAGACTCCAAGATCCGGCCATACTATCTCATGTGAGTATTCCTCTTGCCTCCTTTCGCCCTCTCAGTAGCGGGCGGACTTCCGGTATCAACAACTCTGTCTGCTAAATACTGAGACGCTTAATAGGACCAATGTCTTTGGGCAGAAGCCCAAGGAATATGAGTAGGGGAGTACATTTTGGTACGCGTAGTGCCAGGGTAGCCACAAGACCTTGGTCAAGATGGACATTATAAGACTCTGACTGAGACTTCGAATTGAGGTTGCTGCTTCTCTCTGGAATGCTACGCACTTATAGAACTGGCTTGCCATAGTCCCCATCCATCACGACCGCCCCTCCTATGCGAATTGGGACTGCACATCATCTATTCAGCTGCCAAGCCGCTATAGTGTAAACCTTACAGTTAGTTGAATACCCCATTGATCCAACCGATCTTGTGCGTAAAACTGGAAGTCGTGGCCGTTTGCCCAAGAGCCACTAATGCTTCGGTCATATGAACATGGAGCGTAAACAGGGACTCTGAGAAAGAACTCGACATGTCTGGTCACATAAATACGGCGACTGTGCGAACGAATATGCAATTCAATTATAAGACCGAAGCCAACCGAGTCACGCAAACGGCTTACACTTGCAACAGCTGCCTCCAAACACACAATATCTTTAGATCAAAGATGACCAAAGCGCACATTGATAACCACAATTTCTCTCTTCAAAGCCCCACAAATCATTAGTCTCGTTCCATAATTTGTACCCACATGTCTGAAATGGCAAAGAGCCCAAGATGATTTCGAGCGTCCCAGGGTTTGGTCGGATTGACAAGTGCCATGTCAAAATTGCGTAGTAGCTAAGATAATATCAGCTTATTGCCTATACGTGTTAGATGTAAAAGAGAGAAAGACGGCTATACCTCGAATATAGTCTTCCCTAGCTCAAGCTGAGCTACAGGTCTGCCCAAACACTGGAATCTGCCGTGCCCAAAGACCAATTCGTTTGTGCGGATCATGGCTGCCAACTTGTCTGAATCAGAGTTCAGCCACCGCTCAGGCCTGAACACCTTCGCGTCTTGACCGAAAACTTCCTTACTATGGTGCATCCCGTACGCTGAGTAGCCGATAGACACACCACCTGGCAAGAATATACTCTCCCCGTTGATGGTGACCATATCGCCATCTGGGGGCGTGTCCCGTGAAAATATATTAACAGCCGGTGGCCATAGTCGCAAAGCCTCACGTATAACGGCCTGGAGATAGGGAAGCTGCTTAGCTTGTGCGAGGGTAATGATGCCCCTGCCAGAATCTGGGGCCTTGCCCTCTAGGATAGCATTGTCGATCTCTTGCTGCAGCTTCCGATATACACGGGGGTTGGTCATGATGTACAAGAGGGCTCCACGAATACCAGTCGACGTTGTGTCAGCTCCCGCAATCAGCTGCTCCAGAGCTTCTGACCGCAGATCGTCTCCTGATATACCGTGACGGATAAAGGAGGCTAGCATATCAGATCGTTTATCGGTGGGATTGGCTGCACGCTCGTCAACGGCGCGGTAGCATGCCGCAATCATCTTTCCGAAGCCGTTGTTATCTTTTGCTGACGGCGCAATAAGCCTTCCAATAATGGGTGCATGGGCAAGCCAGCTAAAGCCCAGAGCAAGAGCAATGTTGCCAATAGCTAGACCCTCCTCGCTTGATTTGAGATACTCGTCAACATCGGAGTCTTTCTGCACCATGCCGAATGTCTTGCCAAATCCAATGCTGCTGATTATATCCAATGTCAAGTACTGGACCTTTTGAGCAAGGTCTATTGGGATGACTTTAGTGTCCGATGAAAGATACTTGTTGCGGATAAGGTCAAGAAATTCTTGGACTCGCTCATCAACGGAACTTTCTAGATGTGGATTTTCTCTCCCAGAGTACTAGACTTTAATCAGAATTTTGTTCTATGGCAAACCAGCCCTCTTAACTTACTCCTGGGGCCATCTGCTTCCGTCGCTGCTCGTGCTTTTGGTTATCTGTCTGGCTAAAGACATTGTCCCTCCGGTATTCGATGCGACATGCATTATAGTACCAGTCAGAGCGCTTATATCCAGGATTCTTGTTGACATGAATCCAGAGGTCGGGAGAAGACGTAATCAGGATGTTCGGTGCTACCCGCGCAATGGGACCTAGTAGTTCACGTCAATCAGTGTAAATGTTTAACGGAATATGTCAACAACAGGCTCCCGGTATCTCACCATGTTGCAGATTGGCTTGCTCATACAGCTCATGGCAACGGTCTTGTAGCATTGCCCAGCTATGAGGCCAATCACTGAAGCCAGCCCAAAGAGGGCCACTAAACTGACGAAGCTTGAAGTAGACGACGAATTTGTTGATGACGAACAGGGCGAGAAAAGCGTAGACTAGTAGCTCTTGGTGGCCAGACAAGCGAGCAAAGAGTCCCATTGCGAAGGCCAAAGATATGTAAGGAGTCCCGAAGTTGGGAATACCCTCGATGCAGACTACTTTTCAAAGGCTGGATTGGTACTGCAGTGTCTATTTAAAGCAGCTGATAATGATTTGAGTCCACGAGTCGGGATGGTGAAAGGCTGAGATAATTACATTCCTGCGCAGGTTTTAGAAGTGGGGTAAAGCTAAAGCACATTTATGTTTACAGCCTAAAGCTTAACCCTATAGGCTATAGTAATCTCTATAAAGTAAATTAAGGATAAGGGCTAAATTGTAAATAAGAAAAAACTAATAATAAGTAAATAGTTATAAGAAATTTATATTTATAATTTTATAACTATTGAATTATATTAAATTATTAGTAAATATAAATAAAAAATAATACTACACAACATTGCATTACATACTACTGCAAGATAAGCCGCCTATCTGTTTATACGGAGTCTTTTTATTCTTTTCTAACTATACTAGCCAGAGCATTGGGGGCCCATACGTCGACAATTAAGACACCACGGACGTTTCTTATCACACTGAATAAGTCGAATCGCGCGGGCCGTTGAATTGGCACGATTGATAAGTGATTCCACACCTGAACTTTCTGTAATCGGCATGTCTAGCAGCCCTGTGTCACGACGCGAGCTGTTTACACCCTGTGAAATCTCATGCATGCAGACGGTAAACTTCCAATGGAGGCGCTGTACACCCCGCGTTGGTGGCATTGTAGATGGATTAAATAAGTCTGCTGCATATTCCTTATAAGTAAACGTTCTAGTTACAGACAGTCTGGATTTGGTCCGGAATTGGTGCGACGTTAAGAAACCCTATTGAAAGCAGAAAATGCCTTATTTTTTTAAAGGCTTTCTAGAGACTTGGTGGATGCTCTTTTGCCCTCTACGGTACAGTTTCAGGTTTGGCCCTTGGTGTGAGTGTTAATAAAACAAAATTGACAGTTCAGGCATAGTCTCTATTAATTCGATCTTCGATCAATGTAAGACGGAGTTACCCCAGGAGTAAGTCAATGCTTGAAAACCTATGACGGGGGCAAGAGTTGAGTAGTGTTTAGCTGTAAGAAACAAGCATCACGCCACAAAGAGAAATTTCTCACACATGGCTATCACTAGAGAGATAAATTCGCCATGCAGAGGCATATGATAATGATGAACTTACAATAGATCTTCATGCAAGTCATCATTTAGTTTGGAACAACCATCGAAGTTCTGTGCTACTACTGCACAGGATCTCGGTGAGTCGGTGAGTGAAGCATCCGTGCAAGCCAACGTCACATCAAGTGCCTCGGAATTATTTGAGACATTTAATAGCTTGAATTGGTGCTGTGATCCGCAAATCGTATCTGCAAGAAATGGCACGAGGCGATGTCATGACCAGAACTTGAGAAACTCGGTGAGTTCTTGCGTCCGGCTGCCCGTCATCCCGCCTGCATTGATAATGAAAGTTTGGTAATCGTACCACTTCAATTGGCTGTGATCAAATGTCCAAGACTCGAAAGATGATGGATGACCTACAAGGATTGATGCCAGTTGTAATTTCATTAAAGTCCCGCATCATTTGGATTAGCTATTTCTGGGGATTCTAACAGCGAGATTTCCCCAGTGGGGATGGAGTATGTCGCTATACTGCTGAACTAACACACCTATGCGAAAGCTCAGTAGTTGGCTGTTAGTGCTGATGTCTCTCTCACTTTAGCTCAATGCTGACTCAAGATTACCATCGCGAAACATCGGAACTGAATCATCTGATGACTCCGGGATATTCTCGCGGCACTCAGCAACCTCAATTTCTTCAATTTTTTCAAAGATCTTCATTCTCCGACAGGTCACAGAATTTACATCCAGAGACCAATACTAAGTCAAGTCAAACAGCTTCTGTAGCAGAACAATGGACGTCAACGAAAAGCCTTGAGACGAGATCTCAGGCGCTTTGACGCATTGAAACATCCCGAGATGCGGCAGATGCAAACAAAGCCTCAGCATGGCACGAGCAAGCAGAAATCTGAGACCATCTCAATTGAATCTCTGTACCTTTGCAACTATTGGCAGCGCTGTAGAAGCCAAGTTGAATCAGCAGATGCTCGACACAGACGGCGTGAAGAAAGCAGCCCATTTACTCCACAATCCACGCCACTTGCGCCCCAACGTGATACGAATCTGACCAGCCCTGAGACTGGGGTCGGTGGGCTGACCTGATGAATCTGCTATACGGAACTCACCGGCGACATAGCAAGATATTGAGACGGTTGAGAATAGGGATGGAAGGAATTGATATAAGACAATGCCTAATTCAGCTTGTTCAGATCATTATCATCACTTAACGCTCATCAACAAAGACAAGCATCTCATCTCAACTCATATCACGGTCCTACAACATTCTTATACACTTTCACTTCAATTTTATAACGAACCTGCATCATGACGACCAACTCATTCGGCGGAGCTCTTCCTCGCTTTGACTTCCCCTCCCAACCAGCCCCAGCTGTATCCCGTATGGCGCGCATCCACAAAGCCCTCCCAGTTGTATTAGTCGCAGCAACAGTAGCTGGTAAGCCTTCTTCGCGAAATATCACGACAATCGTTTAACAGTTGGTAGCTGTCGCGCTCAAGACTACCCAAGAAGCAAGAGAGACTCATACTTCTATCCCCGCAATGTTATTCGGTCGCGCTCCAGCTCAAAGCTTGGTACCTCGGGGGCAGGGGATTATTGTCAACCAAAATGTTGACTTGGGTGCGAAGCCCAGCAAGTAACAGACTGAACATTCAAGTGAAGCTAAGCTATTGGACCTATGAGTCACAATAGTCATTACAAGTTTGGGACAATATATTACCGAGAGCAGGGCTGGACCCGATACATCGTTTAATCAATATAAGATCTGTCACCGCAATTACCTCACTTTGTACAAGACGATTAAATCAGCTCGTGTTGATCGGATAATATCAAGATCTCCCCGAAGAGATTGCCTCTGACGATATATCGCAAACGTAGAATGATCGATTCGATTGGTCTTGCCATGCATGCATCTAGTGATCGGCGGCGACACCTAGCTCTGGAGCTTAACACCGCAAAACTCCGGTTCCGCATACTCAGCAAGGTATGGCGTCCTCATGGCGTTTGAATCTTGCAAGCATTCCAGACACGGTTATCGCTTATTTGCTGTTACTTCACGTTGTTCCACGTGGTCAATTAGCAACTGTCATACCTTGTTCTGTAACATCCTAAAGATTTAGTACAGTTGGTGGCTTGCTTCTAGCTCTCTTTCCAGCCAATAGCTCCGCTTTAGACTGAGTCTCGACACAATGACTTCCGCTGACTACCGTAGCTTCATACTGTCTGGCGAAAGCTGGGGTAGAATCTGGGGTAACTCGATATAGGCGTAGCGCGAACATTATGTGGCCTGACATTTAATCATCAACTTGATGTGAGTTAAAGCTGAATGGCCAGGACTTGGCCTCCCCACCAACTCCAAGATTTCCCCTGAATTAATGACAAGACTATGAAACGCCCATGTGTGAAGCCACGTCCCCTGTCCCAGCGCCCGTTCAGCTTAAGAGCAGAGTTCTCCCAGTCTCTCGTCGCTCTGCCAGAGGAAATTTTGTGGCCGGCCAAACATGGCTTTATCGGCAACTATCGAGAAGGACATTGCCATTGCCTGCATATGTTCCGCCCTGATCCTTAGGGTTTTTATCACTGGTACAGGGGACATGCAGGGTCTCATAGAATTTGGCATGCCGATGATATTTACATGGCCATTGCTCTACTGCCTCTTATATCGCGCACTGTTTGCATCACCATGTCCTTCCTCTTGAACCCATCCAGCTCACGCGAGCCTGCGACGAAAGATGAGGCGGCAGCTCAGCATATGACTGTTGAGAAGCTTGAACACGATCGGATTGTCGGTCTCCAACTGCTGGTTGGTACCCGATTGAGCTACACTCTGATGTAAGACTCTTTCTGTGGACATGTGGTGACTCTGGTCGCATACTGAGACTTATAGCCTTTGGATTTTGAAAGCAGCCCTGCTTTCATTCTACTCTCGGTTCGTTCGTGTGACAAGCTGGGGCAAGACGACAGTCAAAATACTATGGGGCCTCTTGTTTGTTTCTTGTCATTTTGTTATTATATCGATATTGGCCGAATGCCGCCCGATCACCCTGTATGTGGTTCCTGGTCTTCTGCCTGTTCAGTGTTAACCTGCGCAGAATGTGGAGGCTCATTTCTAAGGAAACACGTATGTCTTCGTTTTCTTACCGCTTTGCGATAAACCCTGATTTGTATCGATGGGACTGACACATTATAGAGCCGGTATGCCAGAAGGGCATGGTTTACTTCTTTGCTCTAGCCGTAGGCAATATCAGCACAGATATTGCACTACTAATACTGCCTTTCCCGACCCTCGCTGTGGCGAGACTAAACACGAGAACGTAAAGCAATCTCACGATTCTTGGAGGACACTACGCTGACAATTTCCAGTAAGATCCAACTAGGAATCTTGTTCAGTATTGGTCTTTTGGTCATCGCAATCACAATTGTCCGGATACCGCTGATTCTTAACGATTCCATGTCTCAAAAGGCTCGGTCCACAGTGAGTTTTTCAGACAGTAGCTCACTCATACCGTTCTTGGTTCTGACTTCAATTAGTGGGCAACTATAGAGATTCTATGCAGCTGCATTGTGGCAAACACGCCTTTCTTTTATGGACTGTTGAGAGAGCTTGGACAACACAAGGGTACACAGCCTTCAGCTACCGATCCGAGTAGATCAGAAGGTCCATTCTATCTCCAGAGCAAAGGAGCAGACCACCGCTCCTATGAGCTGCAGGCTGCAAATAGTGATGGAAACAACAATTCACAGGAGCTGATCATAATGCCGTAATAATTAATATTCTTATAAACTATTAGCGATAAACCTGAGAATTATCTAGCATTGCCACGTCGCTGGCACGTGGTGCCCCTTACCTATAGGGATGAAACAGACAAGCCAGCTCTATCGTGACTGACACTCCATTGGCATTGTAGGCGCGCCTGGAGGGAGCAATCACTTTTGAAGTCCTAAGACTACAGATACTTCAAGTTACCAAAGGACTTATTCCTCTCTTTTCCAATCCGAGGGTCTCTTCATGCACACGTCGCAATGCTTCATCATAATCTGGTGCTAACACACTGCTAATGACACGAGCTGTAACATTTCCTGGAGCGTTCACGTTAGTCAAGTTGAAGTTGACAATTTAACTCCTGCTATATCTTGAACTCATAACGAAAGAGCTTCAATTGTATACTGCATTGTTTGACTTGTTCATACTCAACACTACATGTTCTGATAAACCGTGATGGGCGGACCGAGAAATGTCACATGTTCATCCATAGTTCCATACCCCTCCGCTGCCTGCTCAACAAACTTCCACCGCCTCTCGGCTTTTCTTTGCTAATCCCTCTACTGTCTTTTGCTACAAAATAGCCAACCACTTCGAAAGGGTTGATGCCTTGATAATGGCTGAAATTCACGTCACTCTCATCGTTTTGGTGCCCAGGCCTTTATCATTAATGACACTGGTACCTTCTACTGAACAAGGCGTAGCCAATGGGATTGAGAACAGTCCCAAAACAAACTTGCTAATTTGGAAGACTCCTACAAGGAATGAATCCTGCCACTGTGAAGCGAAGCTTTCCACTGTCACTGGCTTCCTCACTCCTCAGCCGAACATAGCCATACGACAGTATACTCCGACCGCGCCGGTTTGGCAAGCCACATCCCGACCTTACACAACTCTTCAAACCCAAACGGCAACAAAACCTCGACTTTTACCACCCGCAGACTGTCGATCGAGGCCAGCATCACGATAGCAACAACTCATCGGTAAACATAGCCTCAACACGATCATCATGGATGATACCCAGTCTCGTGTTCGGTCACTGGAGGAAGAAGTGGCTGAGCTGCGACTTATGGTTTTATCTCTCTCACGCCAGATCTCCAATCAAAAAAAAACCCCAGGATACCTCCATGGCACTCTCGGATGATACCGATACTAAGAACAAGGCCTTGAACACCTCGGCGCCTTCAAAACTCTCTCTATTCTACGGAAGAGGAGACATACGATCCTACCTCTCAACCCCCGACCCCAGATTTGAAGAGGACGAATGGCTTTGCAACAAACCTCCAGGCTGGTATTGGCACACAGGCTTCCTTGCCTGGGCCAGACAAGGTACTCACTGGGATTTTCCCCGATACGTATTCGCTTACCTACAGCATGAGAATGCCGGAGAATGCTCCGCCGGGGACGGTTGCGATCATTGGAAAGAGGCAAACAACCCTGCTACGGGAACTGTGATTTTGGAAGTCCTTTGTGCTGAGTCCAACACATTCAAGGAGTGCCTCCATCTCGGATCGACCCAGTGCCCTGACTTTGAGCCGATCCATAGAAAGCCGACCGCCTTTTTAATAAGATGCGGCCTGACTTCAAGGCGCTCGAAACCCTGAACGGTATAAACTTCGATCGATTCTCAGTCCTGATGTTCCGTGTCATTAATGACCCAGTCGGCCAAAACCATTGGATGGATAAGTTTAGGAGACTTATCGATTTCAACGCCTTGGAATGAAAAGCCCTAGATGATCTTAGGTTTGGAGAAAGGGGATAATGAGGCAGGCTGGGGTGTGTATGCACTCTGTGAACTAGTGGGACTCAACGACTGCGGAAACAAGCCACTAAATCGTGGAATTGGTTTTGATGGAACTGTTCCCCTTTCGAGTTCACTGGATACGTTCTTGGCTCGATTATATTGGCCTTTGAGATGTCTAGATCGTTATGCTTGAGGTGTTTGTGGGCAAGCACTTTTTACGGGACATTGCAGTAGTTTTTCGTTGGTAGTACCATAACACATCAATAAAACATACTTCGTACAGCCTCTTGCTTAATCATGAACTCGGAGAAAAAGCCATCAAGCGAATCATAATCATCGAGCTCGCCCACGTACGACACGTACTGATCAGGCCGCAAGATAGCCACACAACCCTCCTCAGGCTTGATGCCAAACGTCTCGTATAGCTTACCATGCCCCTCGTGGTAAGACTCATCATCAACAAAGATCTTGTTGTAATCCCAACCATCAACCTCATGATACGGGCGGAGAACCTCTGGGAAGTCAAAGACATCGTGGTCCTGGCGTTTCGAGGCGTGCACTGTGATCACTTCGATCACGGAATCATATCGAGCCGAAGGTGGCGTGAAGCGCTTGAGGAATGAGGACTCAGCTGACAGCTTGTCGCACAACGACCTCATTCGTTTGTTCTGGCTGTCGAGATCGATATCTCCGGGGAAGACAAGGAGTCTCCATGATCCGTTGCTTCGGAGAAGCTCTTGCAGGTGCCAAGGTCTAGCATCAGACTGGTTGAGAACCTTGACGCTGGGTATACGCATGCCGAGCTTGATCTCTGGGGCCAAACCCTGCCTCTTGGCAGCGATGTCTTTCAGGTCAGAGTCATCAACAGTAGTTTTGGCAACAATGTCGCTTTGACCATAGTCCACAGCTGAAGTCCATTAGCTACAAGCCTTGAGTGTATTAAATGCACTTACCAATTCCACTGGCGAACAAGTTGCCCTTCTCAAAGGCTTCACGAAACTCATCCATGCTGATCCCCTCCTCGTCCATGATATCCTTGGCCGGGCGACCAGAAAAGAGACGAGAGAACTTGTGGTCAAAATCGATAAGAGCTTTAGCAATGCCCTTTCTCTCAGTCTCGTAAGTCTTGAGAATCGATCGACTTGAAAGGCCCTTGACAACATTGGCGACTTTCCAGCCGAGGTTGAAAGCTGGGAATGTTATGTTAGTTCGGTTCGGAACGACGTTATGATGAAGAGACTTACAATCTTGCATGCTAACATTCATACCCTGACCAGCCTTGGGGCTATTGAAGATTGTCAGATATTTGCGAGACTTTTGGGTTGGAGAACTAACCTGTGAGTGTGAACAGCATCGCCAGCGAGGAACACCCGGTCGTAAGCCGAGAAATTAGATCCGACGCGTTGTCCGATCTGGTATGCAGTTCACCAATCCAACTTGCGATATGTCAATTTATAAGGAGCAAGAATCTTCTGAGCTGACTCAAGAATGACATCAGGCGTGATCCATGACCGATCAGCCCTTGAGTCCTGTTCTCCAATCTTTGCTGTTGTAGTGAGCTGGATATACAGTCTGACGAGCTTGTTCTCTCTCGGGATCACCATGACACTCCCCGAACTCGCCGAATGAATCGCACAGCGTTGTCGGATATCAGGGAAATCGGTGATGGGAACGATGTCAAGAACACCCCAGATGTAATCCGTTGACTCTCCCTCAAGCTTGAAACCGAGCTCCTTTCGGACCCACGAGTGAGCACCGTCTGCACCAAGCATGTACTTCGCCTTTACTACCTCGACCGTGTCTGCCTTTTCGTTGAGTTCAGCTGCTTTGAGCATATCGGCTGTATCGTCTGGAGAAAGGTTGCTGCGAAACAGGCCGTCCTGGACAGTAGTCCCATTGGCAGATGTCGATGTCTGTTTTGGTTGAGCCTCTTCTTCACTGAGATGCCGAAGGTTAATAGTGATCGGGTATGCATCTGGGTCTTCAACAACATTTGTATCAATCTCCAGGCTCGTCGGCAAGACACCTCGCTCTACTGAGACTTGTCCCTGGCTGAAGTCGTTGATAGCGTCGAGGAAGAATCTCTCAATGCGACCTTGGTGAAGAACAACCTGTTGAAAGCGACTGATGCCAGGAATCGTGTCGGCAATCCTTGAGCTTCGACGAAGAACACCCTTTTCATCAGGGTTCCAAAGGGAGATTTCGAGCACGTGGTTAGATTCAATCCAAGCTCGGTGCGCAAAGCCGAATGAGTCGAAGATCTCAAGTGTTCGGCATTGAAGGCCGTCGGCTTGACCATTGAAGATCTGAGAAACTATTAGTAGATCGCACAAGAAAAGACGAGTAAGCTCACCTTGGTTCCTCTCTTGTCAACGATGCGTGTTTTGATGCCGCATTTGGCAAGCCATGTTGCCATCATAAGACCGGCCGGTCCGGCTCCAACAATGAGAACGTCGACATGATCTGTCTTTGCACCAACAGCCATCTTCGTTCGGGTTTCGTATTGACTTGGATAGGATGAAGTGTCTGACAGCGAGGCAGTGATATTGTCAATGTGCCAAGATACACTCGCAAGATCTTATACTCATTGATGATTTGAAGAAGGTCAAGTGATGCAAGGGCGAACCGACAAGTTGGTAAGATCCGAATCGGAAGACGGGTGCTTATGTGCCTTGACACATGAGATCGGAACAGTTACGAATGGCCCTCGAGTGACTGGTCAGGCCATATGTACAGCAGCCATATTATGTAACATTTTGTCGGTCTTGATAGGTCGAGGCTCGTACCGGAATTATCATCTTGAATTAACGGGCAGATTTCCGTGATGACCTTAGCCCAACTTGACTCTAGCTTGCGGGGTAAAGATGGGGACCAGCTGTTAACAGCGAATAGCATCATCTTTCATTGTTAGCCACCTCTGATAAGCTTATCCCTTCTCAACGGTGGAGCAGTCATCAAGTGAAGTTGTCAGTCCCGATCTACGTCCGGGGGAAAGGATGGGGGATGGTCAATCGAAGCCTTGTATGCAAGTGCGGGTCTCCAGTTTCGGATGCTGGTTGATCATGAAGTTTGACATTTCCGAAAATTTCTTCGGATCCAGGGCAGTCATCCATCCGAGCTGAAGATTCCAGCGATATTTCGGATGTGTCAAAAACAGGCATGGATATAAGAGACAAAAGGCCTGCTTTTGCATCGCGTTCCAAGAGCTTGAACGTCGGCGTCTTGTACATCTTTCAAGAAAGAATATGCAGGTTCATTAAAAGCTAGAAGGTTTTCCATCCATGGCGTGCTCAAAGTGATGTCCGATAGTTCCATAAAATGAATGATCTCTTCTAGGGCTTAAAATGAGAAACTATATCTATTACTCTCCCGAAGATTCCCATCGTTCCAATCTCGTTAGCCACTCGTTGGCCTCGCCAACCAGGTCCTCATCATCTTCATTTGTGCTCCCCTCCAACTCCTTTACCAGCGCTTGAACATGTTCTCGCATTGGTATCCATGCCTCACCGACTGGCACACAGTCATAGACAAAGTCAATCAAGAAGTGTTGGTATTCCGTGTCCTTCTCTTCATTTGCCTTTGCCAGAACTTCCGCCGCAACAACAGCAGCAGTCTCGGGAAACCGAGCAAGCTGGTCTCGACAAGGCGTAAATGGCGGATTATTCGCGTCAACAAGCCAATTAAACAACTCAAGCATATATGGCCTCATCTCTTCGGCAGTATGAACACGCTCTGTAAGTGTGCGATCGCTGACCATGTCGAATTGTCCTTGGTGACCCAGACCGCCTTAGGATCTGCAGCGAAGCGCTCAAGAAGACCTGCGTTTTGAATGAGAATAGAAGTTTGTGCGTAATGCGATGAGCGATGCGCAAAGTCTGAGATGTCGAATGCAGCGAGTTCAGCCAAAGCTGGTCGATAAGGCTGGAGCTTTTGGGAGGAGAGCTTGAAAAGGACAGAGTACAATGCTTTTTGATGCACCCTCAACGTACCGTAATCTTCATTCTCGATAGCAGAGGTGAGAACAGACGAAACGGCTTCGACGGTCGCAGGCTCTGATGCGCGGGACCTGATAGTGTCGATATTCTCACTTCCATCCTCGAAAAGCGTCTCTCGATCTGACCAGAGCATTGTCGGCACCTTTTCTGCAAAGGCCTTTTCATCCAAAGTGGTCAATTGTGTGCGGTTCATGGTGATGAACTGTCGACGTGCCAATGAACACACGGTCTTTTGAGGGATGAGAATCGCGAATCGAGGTCTCACGTGGTTGGCAATTATGAATCGCCTTGCAGATTGATGTATTGATCGTGCAAGCATCACCTGAGGGGACAATAAATAACTGGCCACTTATCGCCTACGACAGAAGAAGGGGAATGACTCAGAATAAATAAACCCAGGTCCTCGATTTGGGTCAAGGACTGATGTCACCAGCAGAGAGTGATGCATGAATAATGTTACCAAATCTAATGTTCGTGTTACGGAGCTGAATCTTAGTGGAGGCGCTAATGGCCTTTGCCAGCGAGTGACATTGGAGCTTCACTGTCATCGCCTCCTGGCATCCTTGAAAATGCGCCTGAGCTAGTTGCTTCGCCACCACCAAACGGGCTCAGCCTTATCAGTCATGAAAGCTAGGGGCCCAGCAAGTGTAAAAACTGTGGTCAGCAATCGCGAATTGCTGACAGACGATGCTATTCCCGTTCTTTATGGTTATCCAGGTAGTACTTAAACAGAAATAAGTACGTTGTAAAAGTGCTTCTATAGCTAAATAAAGGCTATTATTAAAAAGGCAGCATTAAAACAGGCAAAACATTACAGCTATTACTATAGCTTACTTATTAAGTCTGCCTTTAATTTATTATTATTAGTTAAACTATAAAGAGCTACTATATCTATTTACTTACTGCTAAAAACTTACTAATTAATAGTAACTATTAGATTTAGTTTTACCTATTAATTCCTAATTTAATATTTCTAGCTTATAGTTTATATTAGCCCTTTAATATAAAAAATAAGGCTAAAAAGGATTACACTATAGAACTATTAGCTAGATAACTTACTAGTCCCTAATAAAGTAAGTAGCACTATATACTTTAATTTTATTTTAGTAGTATTAGTAATATACCTTAAATACTCTTATAGAAAGCTAATAATTTATAACTAATACTAGTAAAGCACCTTTTAATAGCTATTCTATAGGGTCTAGTATAATAATAGTAATAATTAAGCCTTAAAAGATATTACTTTAAAGTAACTTATATAATTATTAAATACTAATAAAATATATATAGCTAATTTAAATTTGCCCTTATAAAGAAACTATTATAAACTTTAGTAAATATATAATCTAAAATGCTTTAGCTTAATAAGTCTTTTAAGAGCTAGCCTAGCCTCTAATAGCTGCAGAAATTTAAAAATATTTACTAGGTCGAGTTAAACAGGCTTGGCTAAATGGTTCCGAAGTTGTGGGGTTGTCTGTATTCCTGTTCCTAGGTAGGTACGCTAGACTAAGCCAGACAAGACTACCTAACTTTAAGGTAGTAACAAGAATGGGTTTTACCCTGTATAAGTTAACGGTAGACGTTAGTAGTACAGGTTTAGGCTCAGTGGATTATAACAATCTTTAGAATAGCTTTGCAGCTTTACCAGGTTCTTAAAATAAAAAATATAGTTCCTTTAGCTAATACAAGAATGCAGAGCAAATAACGCTTTAACCTAACTTAATAAGTCTTGGATTAATAGTACATTTAGCTATATATAAGACTTCTATAGTATAAAAATATAGTATCTTTAGCTTATATTATTACCTTAACCTTTTGCCTATTTTAAAAATATATACTTATGCCTTAGTTAAATTAGCTTATATAGCTTAAAATAATTAGCACTATATTTACTAAAAGAGTAATTAGCTTTAATAGTTTACTAAAGTTAAGAAGTATAAGTTATACTTTTTTTTTATATTAATTTATTTAAATAAGTTATACTATTAATACTTAATCTTTTTAAAA